TCAACGTCATGTTGTTTTACGTTTCCCTGATGAATTTGAGTTCCTTAGAAATTGGATGAAAGAGGCTTTTTTTTTTGGGTATGCTTAAGTACCAGGATTAGAGATTGACTGGGAGCCCTCTGTTGTTCCTATTTGGATCCATTTCCCCTAGTTGTTAGTTAACCTTTACAACTACATGTTTATTTGTTCAATATTGTAACCAAGGCTCAGTTTGGAAGGAGTAGAAATACAAATATGCAGAGTGCAACACTTTGTATTTTGTATGTATTTGTACTCTTTCCAAACTAAGCCTAGAAACTTATGCGAATCACTACTACAAGGGTTTGTGTTGAATTTGATTTGATGACAGATAAGCCTTCCAGTGCGTGGATTGGAATGGAAAGAGATGGTTTTTGGCAAAAGATTACCTATGAAAATCTTTCACTGTATTGCCTTTTTTGTTTCAAGCATGGGCATGAGGAGGCTTATTTTCGAGTTAAGGTAGAGAAGGAGAATAATGGAAGGAGACCATCAAAGAAACTAAGTTGTGGTTGAACAGGTGAATGCACATCAACAAAACTCTAGTACAGTTGTTCCTACAATTAAGAATACTATAAGGAAACTAAACCCTTAGAGGCTAAGAGGAAATAGATTTATTAGAGAACAGGGAAGGAAGTTCCTCCAGGTGCTCAGTATCTCTGTGATGCATTGATTTTTATTGATGTATTGATTTTTTGTGCTAAGTACCTCGTCATTTGGTCTGCTTCCAAGTGGCCGATGACTCAGGCCGATGTGGAGAACTTTGGCTGTCGAGCTGAGTCAAGCTGGGCAGGCTAGATGGTGAGTTAGCTATAGTGCCGAGTTGCTTATGAGGTGCCGAGCTACCTAGCTGCCTGTGAGGTGCCGGGCTGACCTGGTGGCGAGCTGCTTGTGAGGTGCCGGGATGACCTGGTGGCGAGCTGCCTGTGAGGTGTCGAGCTGACCTAGTGGCGAGCTGGATTGATGAGATTCATTGCTCTTTAGAGACCTACAAGGAACCAAATGTCAAAGGACCTGGGGTGGCTAACCCGGTGAGGTCGCTCTGATGTTTAAGTCAGTACTCTCATAGTAGACTGCGAGCTAAAAATCACACAGTATGAGAGCTAGAATTTGCTTACTTGCTTACTCCTCACTTGCCCCTCCTGTCATTGGGGTTGATGCCTTTATATAGGCCTTGCTCACGTACCGCCCCCGAGATCTCTGGGAGGTCGTGTCTAACTGGTCCGAGATCCTCGGAGGTAACTGCCATGCACGTTGACTATCTTCCAGAACGAGAGCCAACCTCCAAGGATCGTGGGGTATGCATGCCGAATTTGTCGGCGAGCACATCTCGCAGGTCGCCAGGTCGGCGCTCGGGCCAAGCCGCCAGGTTGGACACCATCAACTTGGCAAGTTGTTGCCTGAGTGGTTCCGGGTGTCACCTAATTGTTCTGAGGTGCCATGTGTCACAATGTCATTGGAGGGCCAAATCCGCCCTCATGGAACTGAATAATTTTCCAAGCGCTGATAGTAACCTGAATTTTCCTTAGGGTGTGGTGAGTGCAAAGTAGGCGATGGTGCAACCAAAGTGTCCTAATCGGGATCCTATTCCTAATGATCAGCCTACTGCTTTTGGGGACATGTCAGGTGTTTAGGAAAATGACCCGGTGCTGATTAGGGCACATCTACACAAGTCCCAGAACAATGTAAGATGAAATCAACAAAACGTATTCAACAAAATGTCAATAAGGTCACAGGGAGGGAACAAGAAGATCAAATAGAGAAAGGTAATTAATTAGAAGATTTTTTTTTAACAAAGAGTCACAAGAGACGATGGAAACAGAACAAGCAAACGATGAAAGAGTGTGGTGATGGCAAGCTGTATTTTCCTTGGCCAATGATAAATCAAAGGAGCCATGACGATTAGGAGATTGGACTCCATAACAATAACAATGTGGACTTCCTTTTTTATAGATCTCATCATTAAAGAGCTAAGGGTGTTTTTGATGATATATGCGTGATGATCTCTATTCATGTATCCACTCCTGCAATGAAAGTTGATCCTACAAGTGAGAACTCAATTGAAACTGTTATGCCCAAGGACAAATGATTCAAATTAGGATTGTGTGACAATAGAAAGCAAGAGGAAGAAAAAGAATTTTAAAGTTAGGAAGATCTAGGAGACATCTTAATTCAGGAAATGTTCATAGATACTCTAGACCAAACAAAGGCTACAACCCCTGTTATTCTTATGTTACTCATTTTTTTTTTTTTGGGATTTTAGTTTGCTTTCTTTTGTATCAAGCTGTGGCTCATAGTTTTGTTTGGAGGGTTAGGTCTTATGCCCTCCTCTTTTTATTTATTAATAAATTCTTCTTTTTCTTAAAAAAGGTTGTTAGGTGGACGTAATCATACCAGAAGGACCAATTGGCCAGTTGGACAAAATTTTCTTGCCTTAACTTGTTAAATTAATTCTCACTTCACAAAATTTTCTTGCCTAAACTTGTTAACTATTTAACCACAAAGACAAAAATAAACAAAATTGGTACAAACTCCACAAATGGATATTTAATGTCAAGGAAGAAACTAACTCCCCAGAAACTAGTATTTCCCATAAAAGGGTGAGATGACATACAAATGGAAAAAGGTGAGACCTAACGTTCTAAAAGTACTGGTCAATTGAATTCAAACCAGAAATGCAAAACTTAGTGGCAACTTTAAATTATTCTGTTTCTTTTACTAACAAACAAAAGAAAAAAATTTTTAATGCTTTCTTTTTTGTCCGACCTCCTTTTCTAATGCAGAAAGAACTGCCGTGAACGATTTAATTTTTGTATCCGGTGGTTCGTCGTCATCAGAGAATATTCAAACCCACCATGCTGGCGGCGAGTGTAAGCTGGCCTGGCCACGATTTAAACTGCTTCCACCACGAGGTCCATTTGATTCACCATCTAATATATAACATCGTCCATACACTTTTCTTTTATCATGTTTAGTTTTCTGTTATTCTAGGTGGACCGCACGGTGAAGCGTTCTGGCTCTCCTTAGCATAAACAGTCTTAAATAGTATTGCAAATGTTATTAATTTAATTGTCCATGTTGGAAAATGAAAAATTATTCAAAGAATTCATCTAACAATTTAAGTTTTTAGATTGGATGGTTCTTAATATGGAATCAAGTGGTCTAGTATTTGATTCTCGTCATCCTCATTGAAAATAATTAAATTTCAACACATGATATAGGTTAACCTCTTCTTGTCTACACTTTAAGTCCATTGAGATTTTGCCTGAAGAGGCATGTTAGAGAACGAAAACCTATTCAGGGACCTCAGGAACAGCTCAAGCTTCTGGGTTTAATGGGTCCTTGAGAGTGCCAAATTCTAATTCAACTTGATATGGTTAAGGGTGATTGTAATTGTCTCTATACGATCCAATATTGTAATCCAATTCATATTTAAAATTTAAATTTTATCTATTAATTTTGTTCGTTGTGATTTTATTAAACAGTTTTTAAGAGAACCTGCTATCAATATATGTTGTTGATGATTAGGGGTGCAATTTGGGCCAGATCTAAGTTAGGTTTTTGTCAATATTTGATTAGGCCCGACCCAAAGCAGTGTAAAATGCTTAATCAGGCCAACCTGAATGTTTTATTTATTTATTTTTTTTGTTTCGTTGGACTACACAACAAAATCGAGTTATCTCCTTATTCATGATACAATTCTAAAGTTATTTTTAGTTTATTTTATTAATCATATATAGTATTTTGATCATATTTAATTTGATTTCTTGATGCTATTCAACGTCCCATTGCAACCTGTTCGGGCTCAGTTTGGAAGGAATAGAAATACAAGTACCTACCTTGTATTTTAAATTATTTTGTATGTATTTATATTGTACATATTTGTACTCTTTTGAGATTAAGCCTTTCTCTCAATTTGAAAAAATATATAAATATAAATATAAATACATACAAAATATTATAAAATACAAGATTTTACACTCTACGTAATTATAATTGTACACTTTCCAAAATAAACCTTAGGCTCCATTTAGAAAAAAATACAAATATAAATATGTAGAGTGCAAAATCTTATATTTTGTATTATTTTTTATGTATTTATACTGTATACATTTATATTTATACTCCTTCCAAACTGAGCCTATTCCTGATAAATTATATATTCCGTTTAGATGAGATTCTTTGCACGAGTGTATCCTAAAAGTCTATTTCATGGATACTGGATAAAAGTCTGACATAATGGAAAAGACTGGATTCTTTTAATCCATCCCTGATGAGAGTAACTATTGTAGATTCTGGCCATCTCTGGAAGGGGACAGGTGCCTAACAAAGTTAAAGGTATGGATACATGCAATACACAAATTTGTATTTGTATGTTGCATGGTTTAAGGGGACGAAACTCTTAGATTATTATTATTTAAGTTTTGAGGAATTAAGTGAAGAGATATTAGAGTGAATTAACCTTTGGTATTTGGTGCCCTACAGTTGATAACTTCCCCTTGAACCCTTCTTTGCTGGTTGCGGGATTCAATATAATTCTGCATAAATGCTGGAAGAAAGAGGCAGCCCTCAATTGGTGTATATTAGTGGATTCAAAAGCTGATGCTTTACTGATATCATATCAATACACGACTGGTATGTTCAACTCTTTGAACATTAATGCTTAAAAATATTGAGTATTTTATATAACAGGATGTCGGAACATGATTTTAGTTTGATCAATATTTCAGCCAATTCATAAATCTTGTTTTGCTAAAGCCAACATTAGAATGCAATTATTAACCTAGCTAGAAAATACTGTACAGTGCACTCAAAATAAAAAGCTGGAAAGCGACCCACAGAGTTGGGTATCCCAAAATAGTGTACAACCATTTGGATTGAGAAGTCCCATTTTCCTTTTTTTATCTTTTTCTTTTTGTTAGGTTGAATGGATATCTACTCACCTTCACTATCTTACTCCCCAAAACAAAATGGAGCTGATACCCCATTTTAAGGAGCCACCCTTGTTCATCCTTTGTACCACAAAACAATGGGAGCGGTGGAAAGCCAGAGCGACCAGCTGCAACCAAAGACCGGGACGTCTTTTCTTCGGACTTGTTTCAATGGAGTTAATGCCTTGTCAGGTCTCTCTCTCTCTCAACATACACATACACATACCAACCCTATTCTCAGGTTGCATCACGTTATTATTCCTACGGCCGGTGGTAAAGCTGGTTAACTCATCTCCACATACATTGTTGTCATAGGTCATAGCCTACTTTTTCTTTAAGTATATTTTTCTTCTAATCTTTAAATTTCTCGTCATTTGCTTCTTTGGAAGTAGGAATTTTTTCTTAGAAAATTATTATCGATGGAAAACAGTTCTCATACAAAAACAAAACATATAGGCTGCCTTTGCTTATGGTGTAAAGGTACAAGTATATCGATTGGTTTAATGTGGTGAACCGTTAAAGTGAAGAAGGTGTAAATGTGTAATCAGGCGTGGAAACAATTACATTGATTATGGATGTAAAAACTCCACTGTGAGTGGAGTGGAGTTTACATAATTTTTGATATAAATTAAACTTACATCGAAAACAAATAGGAACAGGCTAGGGTGTAAAATTTATCCTGGTTCTCATTTATACTGAAGACAAACACAGCAATAGGAAAAAGAAACGAAAGAAGAGAAACTAGAAAAGGAACATGCCTGATGACATGCAAGTATATCATGCATATTGGCTCAACCAAAATCTGCATGAGATATGTTTTTATGATGCATGCCATCGGTTAAACCGGTTGGTGATGGTGCTAGTTTTTTTGTTTCTTTAAAGACAATTCATTGGAAAAAATATAGATCGATAAAAGGATAACATCCAGCAATAGATAGAGCAGAAAAACAGTTTAACTAAAAGAACAAACACAACAGACTCGAACTATATATAGACTCTACAGCCTTCAAGCAGATCAATTACATCCCTGATCCAAGCCGGAATAGCTAAAACAATTTCTTTCCCTGCATAAAAGCCTCTATTTTCTGCATATTGAGCTAACATCAGAATCCTGTATCAATTTAAATTAATGCATCTTGAACAAAAGACCAGACTCCTTAATTATGCTGCTTTGGCTGTTTCACCTTTAATCATCATATATATCTAAGATCTGCTTGCAATCCCCTTCCAAAATAATTGTTGTTCACCCTGAAGCCTTAGTTTTGCAAAGCGGATCCCTTCAAATAAAACAGCTCTCATTTCACCTTGGAGTGTAGTAGCAGCACCAATCTTGCCAAACTTTATTCCAATTTTCAAAAACTAACCTTCCCTACTTCTCCTTCATCCCAGACTTGGGTTGTATTTGGGATGATGATTTGAGACGACGACTGCATTCATATTATCGTCAAGCCTGAAGCAAAACTAAACACCGCAAAAGCTCGGATCGAGTTTGGTCGCGTCTGCTGGGGTTTTGAATCCTCAGCTGTTGGAATGCAATAAGCTAAAGCTTTCCCTGTAACAGCTTTCATTCTAAGTAGTATATATATATTTTTTTTGTTATTGGTACTCTACTACCAATTGTTAGGTTCTTTAACCAATATGCCTAGAACCGTTGGGAACTTCGAATAGATCAAGCCAAACCATTTAATCTTTAGGACCATAATAGATTGTTTCAATGTTCTTGCTGATTGACTAGTTGCTGAAGCTTTTTGTTTTTCTGTACTTTCTTTTTTTCTAGTTTTTAGTTAATTTCTTGGCGGTTTTGTTCCTCCATATTGTATATTTGTGTTCTGGCAGCATCATTACTATTGTATTTCTATTCTTTTCTGTATTCATCGAAAATCTTAGATTTTTGTTACGGCTATGTTTGGTTTGAAGGAAAAAGGTAGGGAAAGGAAGGAAAATGTAGGGAAATTATACAAGGTTACCTTTTGGTGTTGTTTGATTCATGGTTACGAAGAAAGAAAACCCTACCAATCTCTTTTTGAATATGACGATTTTTTTATTTGAACCACAAAATGCAAATTAAATTAGGATGTTCCATCTTGTGTGTGAGACATACTATATATAACCACTATGTCATGCTTACTTTAGTGGACCATAAAAGTAAGCACCATGTTGCCTAGTTGAAGAAGCTATAACTATAAGAAATTATAAAAGAAAGAAACATGGTTCACTCATGAATCTCTGGTAATGTCTTTAATTCGTAATGATTGTTAGTTCAAAGTAAATAGTGTGAGTGCATCTATATATGATATGAATCATGCAATCAATTCTCACATATTATGGTTCAAAACTGTCGTTGGTCCGGACAGTTGGATCATTCTGTGTAGGAATCGTTTAGGCAACCGATTCTATTTTATCTAAAATTCGGTTTCTGTCTAAAATTTATTGAATTGATTAATCATTGCAATTAAATCGTCGACCCGATTGACCCGTTCAATAGGTTTGGCCATTGTTTATTTTAATTATTCTCATCGAAATTGGCCATCCGCTTGAACTGAACGGTCAAACCCTTGAAAGGAAAACTGGTGGTTAGAATAATTCTATTTCCAGATCGATTTTTAAAACCTTGCCATGAACAGACACAATGCATGGTTCAAAAAGAAAATGGTGTGGTTATGCAACTATACCGCCCTTTTCTAGTCAAGCAACAAGCATCACCTTAGTTTCTACTTTGCTGCAAAACCTGGGAACCATGAAAACAGTGTTCAATACTTTATTAAAAAAAACTGAAACTTAAAATAGAAAAATAAAGCTTACAAAAATTAAATCAAATATTTTTTTCTTGAGAACCCAAGTCGGCTCTCCCTTTATCATCTTCTTTCTTTATCTACGTATGGTCCAAGGTGCAGAACTAGAAAAAGGGAATAGCTTGAGTTTCAAAAGGAGATGAAAATATTGAACCAGATTGGATCTCCAAAACATTTTCTTGGTAACCTCTGTGACATCTTCTTTTTCCTTTTCCTCCTTATAACCCAGACCTCCCTCTCTTTTTAGGCTTTCAAATCTCATCACCCAGATGTCCATTTTTTCATTGGTCTTTCCTCAAAATTTATATAGGGTTTTTAGGTATAAAGAAAAGAAATAAGGGAAACTGTTTGTAGGTTTAAACTTTTTGTGAGATTTTATTTTTCTTTTACGTTTTAGTTCCTTGAACGTTTGATACCAATTTCTATTAGTTTTTCCCTCTCTTTTCTATTTTAGTTTCCTTTTCAAAGTATTTGAAACCATCTCATCGGTTCCTTAGATAGCATGCCCACGTGTTCCATATTGAGATAGCAAGCAGACTAGTCTTCCCTGCTCTTTCGTCTAGGAGAGATTGCGCTAAATTGTACTCCTTCCAAACTGAGCCTAGCTTTGTCTAAAGCCCACATGTAATAAGTTGCACTCAGAACCCATTTGAGAGTGCTTAAACTTTAATTGAGGGCTATTAAAACAAGCATCATCAGAATATTGATTTCCTAGCTGAATCAAAGCATATTTGCCCTTTCAAATAAAAAAAGGCATATTTGGGCTTTCTGGGTTTTCCACCAAACACAACTTTTAAGCTTTCCATGCGAGCCCACCTTGCAAGTAGAGGCCAGATTTAACATTTTATACTGATTTGGGCTTGGATTTCATGTCGGGCCTATTCAAATTTTGACAAAAGCTAACCCAATCCCACCCAAGTTGCACCCCCCAACTTGCAAGGATAGAAGCCACTGTGTTAAAACCCTCCAAACAAGCATTCAATCTCAGGCTTGGTTCATCGAAGCCCGAATACAAAGTGTCCATAGTCTGGTCCTCTGTTCGATAGTAGCTATAGCCACCCTGTCTATTTCATTGGAGAAGGCTAAATGACTAAGAAGACCTACACCAACAATCAAAGTAATCAGATATCTTTTACAACATTTCAGCTTTCAAAAAGTTCAAAGTAATGTTATCAACCTGGATGAACAATATCAATATGAATGGTTTTGATTTTGAAAATAAAAGACAACTACCCCATTAGCAAAAGCAATATAATTTTGCCTATGCGGCAGTTGTTTTTGTTTTAAAAACAAAACCATACATATTATTTGCTAAACGCCCCTCCTAATGATTCAACTTTATTTTTTTTGTAAGTTTTTATGTAATTTATAAACCACCTTTGTGAACTCGAAGTGTTCACAAATAATTCCAACTTGATTAGGAGAGTTTGTGATAAGCTGAGCAAATTAAAATGCAGACTTGTCTCAAGCTCGGTTGTTTTTTTAATTATCAGGAGTTGGGATATTGTCGATTCCATATGCACTTGCTGAAGGGGGGTGGTTGAGCCTTGTACTTCTTTTGTTGATGGCAATCATTTGCTTCTACACTGGGCTGCTTCTACATAGATGTATGCAAGCACACCCACGTATCAGAACCTATCCCGAAATAGGCGAACTTGCTTTTGGCTATAAAGGCAGAACCCTGGTAGCCCTCTTCATGTATATGGAATTGTATCTGGTTGCCATTGAATTTTTAATATTGGAAGGTGACAACTTAGAGAAGTTGTTTCCCAATACAAGTTTTAAAGTTGGAGGATTGAGAATTGGAGGAAAACAAGCTTTTGTTGTGGTCGCAGCCCTTATAATCTTGCCAACGACGTGGTTAAGGAGTTTGGGTGTCCTTGCCTATGTTTCTGCTGGTGGGGTCTTGGCTTCTATTATTGTGGTGTGTTCTGTTTTTTGGGCTGGTGCGATTGATGGCGTTGGGTTCAATGAAAGAGGAAAACTGTTTAATTGGATTGGAATGCCTACTTCTATCAGCTTGTATGCCTTCTGTTACTGTGGTCATGCGGTATTTCCCACTTTATGTTCTTCAATGAAAGACAGGAACCAATTTCCTAAGGTAAGAATTTCTACCTGTTGTTCTTAATTTGTTCAATTCTAGTTAAATATTTCTCTTAATTATCTCATTTCATATCCCTCCCTCTCTCTGTCTGTATGTATGTAGGTGTTGATAGTCTGCTTTATTATTTGCACCTTCAATTATGGATCAATGGCTGTTTTGGGGTACCTGATGTATGGACAAGGTGTGAAATCCCAAGTGACCTTAAATCTACCAATTGGAAAAGTAAGCTCCCATATAGCAATCTATACTACATTAATCAATCCTTTAACTAAGTACGCGATTATGGTTATTCCCATTGCAATGGCAATTGAAGACTGGTATCCCTTCCGCAAAAGCAGACCCATCAGCGTCCTTATCAGAACGTCCATACTTATCACTAATGTCGTTGTGGCATTGACTATTCCATTTTTCGGATACCTAATGGCATTTATAGGTGCATTTCTTAGCGTCACGGCTTCTCTTTTGTTGCCATGTGTTTGCTATCTCAAGATTTCAAAGTCTTCCCGAAGTTTTGGATTAGAGTTGATTATCATTGTGGGGATTTTAGCATTGGGTTCCCTGGTTGCAGTCCTGGGGACTTTCATTTCTCTCAGGGAAATCATAAAACATATGTGAACTTGACATCCGATAGATCAAGCATATATGTATTTGGGTTTTTTTTTTTCTTTTTTTTTAAATCTATAAAATACTAAACTTATTTATCGGTATCTATATCTAATATAGACCCAATATAATATTGGGTGATCCTCCTGATTGTGTACAATTATCAAAATTCAAAGCTAGACAGAGCGTTGATATATATGAATAAAAACAATTTAGTAAGCGGGTTAGTATATATAAAACAAAGTTTAAGATGAAATCCATGAAATTTTTGAAGAGGGAAAAAGTGTAAAGTGCACCAGCTCCAGGCCAGCATCCACAAATTCTAGCTAGGCTAGTATCTTTCATACCGAATTCATTAGGAAATCCATTGTGGCACATGAACAGATAATTTGTTTATTTATTTGAGAAAAGCCTGTAGAAAAACATTCATTCAACAAACTCGGTTAGTACATCTGAAATAAGGATAGCCTCCAAAAACCGGGGAGGATTTGTCCATGTAAAAATAGGAGGTGACTGAAACAATGAACCACAGTATGTGCAGCAATAGTAGCTTGACGTGGTACACATCAAACCAAGATGGGAGAGAGGCGGTGAATTAAACTCGTACAGGCTTCAATATTGTGATGAATCCGCCATGGTGGAATTGATGATTCCAAATTGAACTACAGACTGAGCATCGCCTTCAAGAATGAAACCCTATATGGGGAGCTTCTTTATTTCTCTCCATAAATAATTCAATACATGAACCCCTACATCGTTGCATTACAAAGATTTTTGGGCTCAAATTCATCCACTGATAGCCTGATCTGATAGGGAATAAAAAGATACGCGATATAGACCATCCCCATTAGAAACCTAATCTTTAGGCCCATTTTTGTTAACTCAGTGGATCCTGGGGTACTTTGTCAAAATGGTATCCAATTCTTCTCATGAAAAACTAATCTATAACCATGTTGGTAATGACTCTCACCATAAGCAGTCATGAAATCTCCGATACAATAAGCGAGGCAAATTAATAAAAGAAAAGAAACGAGACATTTAATTACACCACTATGGCTTCATATCATTACTAACACCTACCCTAAAGAAAGAAATTATAAAATCAAAACGAAAACAGCCAAATCATATCTTATCATATCATATCTTTCCCATATCATAGATTTTCCATTATTATTTACATGGTAACATACCTTCTATAAGGTACCAAGGGTCCGAATCTCGAATATAAAGTTGGAAAGTAATTGATAAAACTGGGTATGGCAAAAAAAAAAAAAACTGTAGAACCATTTGAATTAAGAGTATCATTTTCTTTTTTATCTTTCAGGATTATTTAAATATTTTAATAAAATTCTCATTTTATTATATACTTAACTTTTGTTTAATATAATGAATATATATATTTAAAATAATCTCATTCGATTTAAACCATATAAATATTTAATCAAAATTGAACAAATTAAGAACAATAGGTAGCAAATCGAACTATTTCAGTTACAAAAGACATATAATCCATGCCATTTCTAAGAGAAGAAAAAAAAATTGCAAAATGCACCTCCCAACATCCACAAACTCTAGCCTGCCATCTTTCATGGTGATTTTATCAGAAAATCTGTTGGCACATATAACCATATTATAATACATCTATCTATTTCACTCTCTATTCATGTGCTTACGTATTTAATTAATATTGATTCAGAATGCAACCCACATTTTCCAACTGCCTTGATGTAAATTTCATGAATGTGTCCTAGATGAAAAATTAAATTGCATAGAATTACAATTACAGAATGTGGTTTTCTGAAGATAGTGAGATACCTCAACATTCAATTGGAGCTCTTCGGACAATACCTTGTTGGATAGCATCCGACCAATAAACTTGTAATCAGTGCATTGCAACAGAAGAATTGGTTAATAAAAAGAATGATTGAGTAAATTGGATGGATAAACAGAAAGAGGATGACTTGGTTGAGGTTTGCAACTTCAATTGGTCCGCCTAGATTAGCCGGTGCACCTAAATGAAGAGTGAAAAAGTGCACCTCCCAAACTCAGTTGTAAGATGACAGTGATCAGAATATTCAAACAATTTAAGGCATTATATAAATGAACTATGGACAAGCAAAGTTGCAAATAAACAAAGCCATTCGGCTAAATATAACATAAAAAAGTGATTCCTACTTTTTTCTCATAGTCTTTCGTTTTAAAGCAAGATACAAAACCTAGTAATTATTATTCAATCTCAATTTCTAGACCAGTTTCCTCTTCTACTGCCACGCCCACATCTTCCACCCACCTTCTGATGGCGTCCACCCTTACTTCCACCCAAAACCTTGTTAACATCCGAATTCACTTTCATGCTTTCAGGTAATGGGAGTATGTGATCTATACACTTCCTGAAACTGAAGTCATCAACAGATTCATCCTGCCTTATGAGAAAGAAGCATCGCTTTTTCCACAATGGATGGTAACGGACTTGAAAAGCGTCGACTCCTCCTCCTAGTTTCCTCTCTGCATCAGCATGGCCCTTCTCTAGCAAGTTCAACAACATCATGTGCTCATACTGCAGAACCATTATTATTGAGTGAATAATATAATTAGAATCGTCAAATGGGTACATTATGTGCACGACAGAAATTACATTGCTTGACAATCAACTACTTGGTGTTGCCATACTAATAAAAACAAAGAAATGAAAGTGAAAAAAAAAAAAAAAACCCTGATGTGGTTGAAATCGAACCGAATTCCTAATTTCTTACTCAATGGCAACAACTATAGATATCAGAGGAAAAAAAGGATTTTGGTTTTTGGGTAGATTCTCTAAAATGTGATTGATAATGTGGCCTCAACAAAGTTTCCAGCTTTCTAGCTTTAATTCACTTTTCATTGCTCATGCTGATACATACCACCAAGTGGCAGTAGGTGTTATTCGGTCTTCAGGTGAATTACAATCTTTCGTTATCTTAAATGTGTTCTTGATTCAAATCAGTCATCCTTAGTGCCTACTCTGAGACTCAAAGATATAACAGTCCTCTGGGTTGTCATGATCATTTTGAATATACATGGATCAAACCTCATACTGATCACATCATGCAAATTCTTTTCCATAATGTTCTAACTTTTCCACTTCACCAAAATCCTTTTTCCCTTTTTTAGTGTAAAACAGATAAAACATACAAGAGAAAAATAAAGTACTAGTTATATCACCTTTGTAAGAGTGGGAGTTTATAGAGGATTTCCGTGCTTCATTGGAGCAGTCAAGGAAAAAAAATGGGATAGCTTATACTACACTTCTTTAAGGAACTTAATGTAGGTGCTATTAGGCACATATGCTTCCCTCCAGAAACCCCAAGCAAAATGTGGTACTCACGTTCCAAACTGAATCTCTTGTACCAAGTGCGTCTTTTGAATAATAATTAAAGTTGAAGCGCAAATATGGCACTGATGTGTAGTTGTAACATTTCCAAGATGCATTTACAGGGATCAAAATAATATACATTCATTAAGATATTCATATGTGGTTGATTGGGATGATTGATTTCTAATCGAAGCAGAGATAAAGTGATAAAACTGATAAGGAAATCTGAAACTCCATAAAATCCATAATCGAAAATTTAATAAAAAAAATACCTGGTTGACGTTGACATTTGGAGGCCAGCAATGAAGGAACTTGTAGAAGTAATTAAAAATCTCCTCCGATGAACTGAAATTCTTAGGACCGACACTAACAGGTTCTGTTTTCTTCTCTTCTTCTTTTTCTGCTTCTTTCACCTCCTCTTCTTCCTCGTTTTGTTGTAATTTGTCAAGGCATTCTTCTTCTACTAACTTTTCGATCTTCTGTTTCTTTGAAATCTCATCCTCTTCTTCTGATTCGCTGCCTTCTCTCGGTCGCTTCGTATCGTCGTTTGAGATCTTCGTGGACGACTGATCTCCATTAAATTCTGGTTTTTTGCCTTCGCCCATCGGCTCTTGTTCGGAAACGTTAGACTTTGGATTGACTGCTCCGATTTCCAAAGGCATGTCTGTCATGTCTTGCGTTCAAAGCTCTGACCTCTGAGGGTTTCTGCTACTTCAGCCATCTCCCGTTTTAGAAATATTAGGGAAGACCCGTGCGATGCACGGCCTGGCGTGGCGCCCATGTTCCACAACCGGAGAGTGGCTTACATTTCACTATTTCAGTTTCCTAATTAAAAGGAAACTAATTGTTTGTGGGTGAATTTAATTACCATTTCATTTTATTTGTTGTACATGACCTGATGGCCTCGTGGGACGTGGAGCACAGAACGGAGTAGCTCATACTCCCCCTCCCGTCCCGTCCCGGCCTCCCCCACCCCACCCTTCGTGGCAAACAGAATATTTTCCTTTTTTTTCAAAGTGTCATTTACTAAGAAACGCCCTGTAATTTGTCATATTTATTAAACTACACTCTGTAGTTTGCATATTACTAAAATACCCTTGCAGTTTGCACCCGGTAATGCCCTGGTCTGGGCTGGTTCGAGGGTTTATGGCCCGTGGGCCATGTTGCCCACAATCCACATATATATAATTTTATTTTATACTATTTTATTTCAATTTCATTTTATTATACTATTATACTATTATATTATTTTATTATTTCATATGTTTTAAATTTTATTATACCATTTATTTTTATCTTGTTAATTTATTTTAAATGTTTCTTAAAAAAATCATGTTGGCTCGTGGCCAGGGCATTGTTGTAATCTATTTCAATTTTATTTTTTTATTTCATATATAAATAGTTGTATACGTGAAAATTCATATAGAATAAAATTTTAAGTTTTTTCAATGTATTGCCTATGCTGTTAATTTGTTTTAAATTTTCATTATTATTTTTTCTTTTTCTTTTAAATCATGTTGACTCGGGCCTTGGGCCAAGCACGACCCGCTACGGTGCAAACAGCCCGTGGCCCACATTACACGTAAAAGGGCATGGTCTCACAATTTCTATCTCAAAAATACCCCTTGCAACTCTCATATTATGAGTTTATGACTTTAGAAACAAAACCCTCCCTGCATACAAAACTTGTTCTAGAGTAGCACCATTGAAACATTATTGAGGAGGTTAATCTATCGAAGCTTGAGAAAATCGTGCAACTGAGGTTGAGGTTAGTGCTGTTTTTTTTTTTCATTTCCCCCTTTTAATTGCCAAATCTCCATACAAACCTGAAATGTTAGGTTGTCTCTCCACCAATTCACAAATGACTTTGGATTAGTAGCATATTGAAATCAATTCCAAGCCATTGTTGGATAATTTACAGCATGAAAGTCATGTTCTTTTACTAGTGAAGTATGAGTTCTATGGAAACAAAACTTTTACTTGCATAAGTTTTCGGCAAATTACTTTGGAAAGTTTTACCCACTTGGGAGGTGGTTTCTTTTGAAAGTCCACTTGGAGAGGTGGTTAAGTTACTTATTCATGGAGATGAGAAATAATTTTCCAAAGTGTATAGGATTAAAATATCAGTTACAAAGAAAAAAAAAAAAAAGAAAACTTAGGGATCTTTCAGGAAATTCACTTACTTACCCATCTAGAAAAAGAACATAAATAAATGTACTTACCTGATAACAATTTTTCAAGTAACATTTATCCGAATAAATGCATTTTCTCAAGTTACTTATTACCAAGCAAACCGGGTCTTAAAGAATTAACTGATGTCATTTACCAAAGTAGCATGAAAGTAACTAAGGGTGAGCATTATTCGGTTAAAACCAAAAATTTTGGTTTCGATTTTTTCGGATCGGTTTTTGGGTAATTCGGTTTGATTAGTTCGATTTTTAGGAATTTTGATTTTTAAAGTTAGAAATTCGATTAATTGAAAAAACCGAATTAATCGAAATTCATTATATAATATGTAATATAAAGGTCTCATTCGCTTTTTGGTAAGTTACTTATCCAAGTAAATGTAGTTATTTGGGTAAATTTTTCATGGGAAACACTTACCCGGATAAATGCATTTACCCATGTTCTTTTATTTCTCATGTAAATAAGGCAATGACCATTTTAGCCATAAAAATCCATTATTAAAAGAGGCATTTTTGTCCCATTCAAGTGTTGGCAACATTCTCCCTAGGTGAGAAAGTTATTTACCCACCTAGGTGAGAAAGTTATTTACCCAACATTCTCCCTAAGTGTTGGCAACATTCTCACTTACTCGGGTATCACTTACCCGAGTAAGTGATACCTAGGAAAATAAACTTCATTGGTCCCCACATAAATCTAAAAAAAGAACATGGGATTCTTGGTCAATGGGAACCAAAATCCCATTGATCAACTTTCCCCTCTCTCAAAATCTGAAAAAAGAATGCCCTCATAATGTAAAATATATAACATATAATATATAATATGCTATATATATTTATATATATATATATTGTATTATCATGAAATTTCATAATATATATTATAATATCATATATATATATATATTATTAGTTAAATTTGATTTTTAATCGAAATAACTAAAAACCGAACCGAAAATTTTGGTTTCGGTTATTTTGGTTTTGTTTGGTTTTCATTTTTTATTTCAGTTTTTAAATTTCTGTTTATTCGGTTCAGTTTTTAACCGAATAAACCGAATGCTCACCCCTAAAAGTAATCATCAGCATCTTGGAATGAATTCCAAGCCAAAAGCATATATGAATTACTCCCTAAAAATCAGTATGATGGCCTTGAAGAATTGCACTTTATCTTGTCAAAATTCCAATGACTAGCTAGACAAGAATGACATGGCTCCTCGAAATTCCAACAATAGGCTATGTTTGGTTTATTGCTTTGGACCTCATTCTTTTAATTCTTGTTCATTCTAGGCAAGAATGGGCAAGAATGAATAATATTAGAGTGATTGGTTACAAAATTCTTGCCATGGGCCACATTCTTTTTAGAATGAAAAATTAGCCCCATAGCACAAAAATTGAATAGCCTGTGGCATGAAAAATAATCATGTCCCATCTTGCTCATTTTCATTCTTTGAGGAAACCCTGCCCGCAAAACTTTTGCAATAGATGTTTAATTTTGTGAAACCACTTTTACAAAAGTACTTTTATGAAAGTACTTTTATAAAAACACTTTTACAAAAGTACTTTTACACAAAAACACTTTTATGAAAGTAAATTTATGAAAAGTACTTTTATGAAAGTAAATTTATGAAAAGTACTTTTGTGAGAGTAAAATACTTTTACGAAAGCACTTTTATAAAAGTACTTCTACAAGCACTTTTATAAAAGTAAATTTATGAAAAGTACTTTTGCGAAAGTAAAGTAATTTTATAGAAGTACATTTACAAAACATCTATGCCAACTGGTAAATATTGACTGTTAGCCATCCACCGGTAAATATCTATGCCAACAATTTTGGAGACCTAGGTTGGTGGTTTATAAATACTAGCACAATTTATTATTATTATTATTATTATTATTATTATTTTAAGAATGAAAATGAGCAACATAGGGCACTTGTCAGTCTAAAGAGAATTCATTCTTAGGAAAAAAGTGTTTAGTTCATAGGAATATTTTCTCATTTTGCCTATTTTTACCCATTCTTGTCCATTTTAGAATTTCATCTTGGGTAGGAATAAAAAAAAAATGAGAATTGAACCAAACATGACCTAAGTGTAAGCAATCGATGGTGGAAATGATTTCTATCTGGCATCCAAAGTTCATTCTTGTGGGACACATTATCTGTTGGTTTGATTTCTTTCCTTTGTCTCTAGCTTGTGGAGGCTCAACTTCTTTTATTTTTTCTTCACAAACTCAAAAGAACTCTGCAACCTGCAGTGTGTATCTTAAAATCAACTACAATTGAAATGTGTAAGGATGGAATTTGCGTAAATAAATCAGTTAAGTGGTAATACATACCAATTCGCTATAACCCATGTAACAAACCTTTTTTTTCATGAAATTGTCAAGTATCAAATTCTTTGATTTTTCATGTAAAGAAGAGTATTAGTTTTGAAATAACGGATGGTCTCATATTCTCAATGTTCATGGAAGGCTGAGTTCAAATCAGCCCCCCACAACATCCCACAGCATATCCCCGCTGTGTATTGGGAACATCTCCCGATGATGACATCATTGTTTCTGGTATTAACACAGAGATGTTCCCAATACACGGCGGGGATGTGTTGTGGGACGTTGTGGGGGGCAATCTTGTGAGGGGCTGATTTGATCTCTCAAAGTCCATCTAAAACAAATTTCAAAAGAAACATTTCCCTATTGTCGTTTGAATGCAATAAAAAAATATGGTTATCACTTATAATCTTCTGTACACTGGTTTATAGATAAGATCAATGATTTTGAACTGTTGTTGATCTAGACGATTGGACTGTTCGACCTGAAAACAGTCTAGGCAACTGGTTCTGTTTCACCCTTGATCCGTTCCTAGGCCAAAACCCATTGACTTGGTCAGAGAACTGCTGACCCGGGCAGTTGAACCATCAACTCGTTTGACTCGGACAACGGTTCATGGGTACCACAAAAAAAGAGAAAAACATCTTAAGTTTGAGACAAGAACGATCTCTGATCTGATATCCAGGTACAACAGAGATAAGAAGAAGAAGAAGAAGAAGAAGAAGAAGAAGATTGCACAGGTTGGAGACCAGAGAGAAATCAGATCTCATATCTCATATCTCATATCTGAAATCTGCATTTCTATTGTCGTTGTAGTCACCGTTGCCATCCTCATCGGTGGTGAAGGGCGAATCCTCCTCTTCCTCTTCCTTCTCTTCCCTCTTTCCTTTCCTTTTTTTTTTCTTTTTCTTCTTCCATTCTTTCTTTCTTTTCTTCTTTTCTTCTTCTTTCTTTCTTTCTTAGCCGGCAACCACAACCTCTTTCTCATAAAAATAAAAGTCTAAAACACTAATACCAACATTTATCCTAATAATGTAAATCGTCCAAACCATTCAACCTAGACGGTCAAACCAATGACCCAAAAACCGGTGGCCACAACAGTTCCGTTTCCGGGTTGGTTTTTAAAGCCTTGGATAAGAAGATCTAGTAGAGGTAGGATTGGTTAGGAATGTAACGATGAGTTCCCATATGAAAAATAAGAAACAATTTCTATATTATGAGGGGATTTCTTGCCTACTACTTCTATCCACGATTTCTATCGTACAATGCAATCACACATCAACATCTTGAATTGG